GTGGAATACCGTTGTGTGGGCAGCAATCTTCCGGAGCAGCGAAGGAGCGCAAATTATTTTCAGTGCTTTCATTTTTGGGATTTTTCTCTCTCAATATTCATATCTTTTTTATGGTATTTCAGAATCGATATTTTGAAGTTATGAAAATGTATGTGGGGTTTTGTTTAGTGTATGAAATTTGATACAAGTTTTGTTGAGAATGGATAGGTTAGTGATTTTTTTTTTTTTTTAGAACTTTTTAACTTTAGTGGACCTCATAGACTACTGATCTGCACTTTCAATATATTGTTAGTAGGTAAGTGGAACTGTGGAAGTTGGACAGCGACTTCTCCGGCTATTAAAATCCTATTTATGGTTTCTAATCACTATTGTAGATAAATTATCCAAATCAAGAATGCGTAGTTAATTTTCTAACTACTAGAGTATTGGACCAGAATAGCAAGTGATTGAGCAATGACCCCAAGATGGTATCTATTGCAGTGAATTATCCTTTTCCTGAGATTTTCCAGAGTTAGTGTGTCAAATTAGCCCCCACTGGAGAGATCACTACCTTGGAAGGTAAAAGAAGCTCTGTTATTTTATGCATCCGGAAAAAGCTTCGAGACATGATTCTCGATTAATATATAAATGATTTTGAATATATAACAAAAGAGTTGGTCTTCAAGAGGTTTGAGGACATTGGCTAATATGAATTGCTAATTCTGAATTACATTCCAAGACAATCATCTCTTTCAGCATTGCCTCCATTCGCGATTTACAATTTCGTGAAAGAGCAAAAGTGGATGGATATGTGCATGTTGAATCTCAACCACCATCGGCGGGATGCTCCCTTCTTCACCACCGTCTTATTAATGAAGTAAGCAACTGCAAAAACATATACAAGTTCAGTTAACACCTTTAAACAGATATGATGAATATCGAACAAAAATGAACCGGAAGTAAGGTTCCAAGTATACCAGCTGACTAAATGCAATTATGCGAGCTTTTCTTTTTTTTTGGCAATTATGTGCGAGCTTAGATGGCTACTTCAAGCTAATAATACTAGAAGTGGCATACTCCATTTGGTACGAGAAGCATGACCAATGATGGTTTTGTCATTGGATATAATCACACAACATACAAACACTTGAAAACAAAATTCGAATGTGTTACAGACCTCAAATAGTTCGAATGCACTGCCCTTTCGATACATATCATCTTTCTTCTTGGACTCAGTAGGAAGCACACTGAATAACAGTGCTCTCCACCCGATAAGTAAAACAGCAGTACTTCCCATTGTCACCAAGATAAAGCTAGCAGCAGGGATGTGCCCAGATGTAGTTGACCTAATGGCCACCCCAAGCTGCAAGGAACGGAAAAAGATTCAAGTACTTGGTAGACACATGAATGCGAACAGAATCACTAACATCCTAAAGCTGCATGTCCATTGACATAAAACAAATCTACTTCCGAAAAGATGCATAATTATACACAAGAGTGGACCATGAGCCACCAATGTAGATAAGTAATCAAACAAACTGATAGAAGAGAAACATAAGCTTCATTTCCTGTATTTAATCTAGCCAAAACTACCATTTCAACAACAAAATAGACACATACAACAGGCCTCATGCTCGAAAACCCCGGCTAAAAAAGATCACTAGACTGCTAGTTTTACTACTTTGGTAAATACAGGCTTACCGGAATTCCAAGACCCCAAGATTTAGCAGCTGCAACCAAGGCTTTTGACCGACCTTTCATTCCCCGCCCTTCCTCGGCATATCCCCCCAAGAAATAAGCACTCAGAAACCATCCTGCCACACAATATTCAATTCCATCTCCAACAAAACTAAACCAATTCATAATAGAGAGAGGAATTAAAAATTACCAGCAATGAAAGGGTCAGCTGTATGTAGAGTATCGATGCTAAACACAGGGAATCCATGGCTGAATCTCCCTAATGCAGAGAACAGAAGCAGAGCCAAAACATCACCACCAGCAAGTAACGCCACTCGACTGAAGAAACCCACAAATAAAAATCAAAACTTGATACAACAAACAAACAAAAGCAATCCCTAAAAACGAATACTTACCCCCATTTCGCGATGGAAGAAGATAAAGCTGATCTGGGTTTATCGAACTGAATAACTCCTTCGAGCTTCTCTTGATCAATGGAAACTGTCTCCTCTACCGTAGACGGAACAGAGGTAGTAGAAGGTCTGTGATTGAAGCTTCCGTCAGAGTTAGATACACCGAAGACGACGCGCCGCCGCCGTGTCTTCGCCGCGAGAACGAGTCCCGGCCATGGACAATCTACATTGAAAAATCAAAAATTGTTTCATTTACTTATACACCAACACACTAAAGAAAGAAAGAACACACGTATACATACTAACGAAATCTCTGGGTCGCGAGCGAAGATTAGGTCGAGCAGTGAAGCAAGTACTAAGTGAAGCCGCGACACCAACATTAGCCACCGCCATTTTTGTCTCCGACTTGGAGGTTTTTTCATGTGGCCGGTATTCAATTTACCCTCAAAGAGCTTAATTTGAGGACTGTTTGGACACAAGTCTATCTTTGTACCTGTATTATATAACTTCAGTGCTAACTTGAGAAATGGAGGTAAGGCTTCTTAAGGCCTGGCCCATTAACATTGTAAAACGCTGCGTTTTTAACTGACTTAGATTGCAGCTTATGTGGGGGATAGCATTAGCCAATTAGAGTATTTGTACAAGGTAGCTCACCTCAATTCATTTATTTTGTTAGCTTATATTTATCAAGTTGAACACTAATTTCTTAAATCGTGAGCTAAACAGTTCAAGAAATGTTTATCATAAACAAATCATTTTTATCTTTTGAAATCGAATACCAGAATTAAATGAGTCTATATCGGTGTTTAAACTCGGAACTTCTAACATTTTCTTTTTTTGGGTAGAAGGAGATTCAACCATACTAACTCAGGATAAAAATATTAAAATTCCTAATCAAGTCGAAGACTGAATTGTGTTATTCATTTTATTGCAAGTCTATTAAACAAATAACGCACAATTTCAACACGTATTTTCAAATAAATGATCCAATAGCATTTGACTTGTTTGGATTTTTTAACCAATTAGAATCCTCCGCTAACCAATACACTTCTCAAACTTTTTTGTTAAACTAAAATAACAAGAATTGTAAAGCGGTTTTGCATGGATAATATTTTTACATTCATTAAAAAAAAATCCTTTAATTTTGGGCAGAACTGTCATGGTTTAACTAGTTATTTAGCTCGAGTGTACCAAACTTACCAAGAGAATCATTTGGTTCAAATCTAAGAGAACCCATTTCGATTTCAGAATTTTGGCCGGCAACAATAATAAACGTAAGCAATAGATGAGTTGGACCCGAGTAAATAGACGTGTTGGCTCCGTGTTTAGGTTCTACCTTCCCTGCAAGAAAATTCCTCTCATAAGCATATCCCATGAGGCCATGACAAGTGACAACTATTCCTTTCATTATCGGACCAAGTATAATTAATAAAAAAGTATATAATAAACTCGAGCATGATTGTGGACCTGTGGTTATTTTCTTCTAGGGACAAAACCGTAAAACAACGAAGAGAAGTATCTCTCTGGACTTTCGTTCAAATTCAATCGAATGTTCTTGATCCATACTCTTGAGATTATAAATTGCCCTACTACACACATTTTGTTTCTCTCCATCGATCAATTTTAAAGTTTTCTCTATTCCAATTTTACCCTCTAGAAAAACATGTCGTCTCACGCTAAAGAAGTGGAAGTAACGATCACGTCGGCTAAGGACATCAAGAACGTAAACTGGCGCAACGGCCCGAACAAGCCATACGCAGTCGTATGGGTCGATCCGAAATACAAATCCTCTACCAGAGTCGACGACGATGGCGACACGTGTCCCACCTGGAACGAGACACTTGTCATCCCTTTGCCTCCGGACAACGACGACGACGAAGATGATAAGGTCTACATCGACATCGTACACGCTGGTCGTGAGGAGGACACAAAGCCTCTCATCGGCTCCGCTCATCTCAGCCTCCTTGATGTCATCGAAGAGGCCGGTCTCGGTGTCCCCGTCGCGAAAACCCTAAAGCTCAAACGCCCATCCGGCCGACCTCACGGAAAACTCGATGTCACCGTCACCGTTCGTGAGCCTCGGTATCACCCCGCTCCAGGATCGTACCACGCGCCGCCTTACGGGTATACTGACTACACTCACGCGCCACGGCAACCTGCTTACGGTGTACCATACGCGCCTACTCACGCGCCGCCGCAATATGGTGAAACATACGCGCCGTACGGCCAGTCGGGGTATGGTTACGCGCCGGAGAAAGAGAAGGGGAGCAAGTTCGGTGGGATGGGGACGGGAATGGCGGTTGGGGCGGTGGCCGGAGTTCTTGGTGGGGTGGCTTTAGCGGAGGGACTAGAGGCTGTGGAGGACAACATAGCTGAGGAAGCGGCGGAGAAGGTGGAGGATGATCTGGATGCCGGAGAGGACGGATTTGACGTCGGCGATGACGACGGAGACTTTTAATCACTGCATTTAAAAGCGGACCACTTATCTTGTCCTCTCGTCATTGATCAAACATTAAATGAAATTTTCATTTACGATGTTATAAAGAGTGAAAAATAAAATTATCCACCTAAATCCTAGCTTTTGGATTTCTTAAGTTAAAAACAGAAAAATAAATGATAAATAATTTAATTGTAAGAAGTGGTTCTTAGAGTATCATTATCATGAGATTTGGTGGATATCATTAGATATAAAATTATTAAAACACACATTCTCTCTTTCTTTTACTCAACTTTATACATTCTCTTTCATCCTTTTATTCAACTTTTATTAATTTTATATTTAAAKACACCCCAACTAAAYTTTAAWCTCTCTCCAAAAYTATCAACCCATTGATACAAAGACACTCTCTCTTCAAAAGTATCAACTCATCTCCTTTTTTTACTCAAATTTTATTAATTTTATATTTCAATACACTCCATTATTTCAACCAAAAATACCTTTTTCTTCTTTTTATTCAAATTTTAATAATTTTATATCTAATGATACCCACCAAATCTCATGGATAATGATGCTCTTTGTTAAGAACCTCTGATGTGTCAAAAGGTGAGTGGTTCATCTAATTTTTTTTTTTAAAAACATTAATTTGT